ATCACGGTGCCAGACAAAACCAATCACCGCACCACCCGGCTACGAGAGCGGAGATGACGACGTGGTTGAAGTCCCCACCAACGCAGACACCACCAACGTGTCAGGCCTTCAGCTTTTTGGCCTGCATACGTCCGTCTCTACTCTCGCGCGGACCGTGGAACCTAAGGACCCTCGCGAGGCCCTCACTGGCCCTCACGCCAAGGAATGGCGCGCTGTGATGGATGCGGAGCTGAAAGCACTGGAATCGCGCGACACTTGGGTCCTAGTCGATCGTGCAGCAGTGAAGGGGAGGAGGGTGCTCAGCGGAAAATGGGTTTTTCGTCTCAAAACTAACGCTGAGGGTACTATTGAGCGCTTCAAAGCACGTTGGGTCGTACGCGGGTACGACCAGCGTCACGGCATAGACTTCGATCAGACCTTCGCTTCCGTCAGTCGCCATACCTCGGTCCGGATTCTACTCGCCATTGCCGCAGCGAAGCACCTACCACTACGACAGATCGACGTGAAGAACGCGTTTCTATACGCGTTGGTGGATGCCACCATCTTTGTGGAGCAGCCGCACACCTACGGGGAAGGTGATCCCAGAGTCTGTCAACTGAAGAAGTCACTCTACGGGATCAAACAGGCGCCACGACTCTGGCAGCAGCATCCGCACAAAATCCTCCTCGAAATCGGCTTCAAACAGCTCCCACACGACCCGGGAATGTATCGCCTCCACTTCAGCGGCGATTACATCCTCCTGACAGTCTACGTAGACGACCTGCTGTATACGGGGACCTGCAACAAACTCCTCGACCAGTTTCAGGAGAACCTGGCGCAGCGCGTGGACATCACCATCAACCTCGAAGTGAAGCAGTTTTTGGGGTTAAACAACTCCTACGCGCCAGAAGCAATTCATCTGTCAGCCTCCAAGTACGCAGAGCAGCTGGGGGAACGCTTCAACATCTCACCCGCACCACTCTCAACTCCCTATCGCAGCCCGAGCACCAACTACAAACCGGACAACAAACCTCTGTCGCCCGCAGGACTCCAAATGTACCAGCAGAAGTTGGGATGCCTGCTATTCGCCTCTGTCACCTGCCGACCCGACCTTTCGTACATCGCTAGCCAACTGGCGTAGTACTCTCGCAAGCCAGTAGCTGAGAACCAGCTGGACCTGGAGCGCGCCCTGCAGTACTTCATCTCCACACCTGACATCGGGCTCTCCTACTCCACGCTGACGACGACCTCCTTCAACCTCAACGGCTACGTGGACGCAGACCACGCAGCTGATCCTGCAAATCGACGGTCCCGAACCGGCTTCGTTTTTCGCCTGGAACCAACTAGGCCAATCTCCTGGAACTCGCAGAAGCAGGAGCTGGTTGCCCTGTCATCGGCTGAAGTAGAATACATCGCCGCGACAGCAGCAGTTCGCGAAGGCCTGTACCTGCAGGAGCTGCAGCACGAGGCGAAAATTCCAACCTCGCCTACCTTTCGCCTTCACTGCGACAACCAGAGTGCCATCAAGATCGCGAACAAGCCAGGATTCGTGAACCGCACGAAGCACATCGCGCTTCGGTACTTTTTCGTCAAGGACGAAATCGACCAAGGCAAAGTGGACCTCGCTTACTGCCTGACCACTGAGATGGCAGCAGACTTCCTCACCAAGCGCCTGCCACATCAGCAGTATAAGCACTGCTCTGATCTTACCGGAGTAGTCAAGCGAGTCAGCTCCACCCGCGCCCAGGAATGAAGGGGAGTGTTACGATGTGAAGTTTTATGAGAAGGCATTCCTGTATGCTGCAGGAGCCGACTCTAGCGAGTACGAAGTTGAGGAGTCAGAAAAGCTGAAGCGACGTAGCAACCGTCAGACCAAGACCGATGCAGGCAGAAACATTTGAAGTGAAAAGAGCGGGAACAGGTTTGAAGCAAGTTCCCGCGCCGCACGGTTTTTTGAATTCAGTTGTAATAAGGGAATGTACCCCTTAGAGTACAAGGCTAGTCTAGGTCCTTTCGTATTCCCTTGTACTCTTATATAAACTCGATGTATGCATGCTATTATCAACTCAGTCATTTACATTCACTCTGACCTGAGATTCAAACTTCCGCTGCAACACTACTCTGCGATCAACCCTGAGCGATCCTTCGCTAAGTCCCACTTGGGATTGTAACACGGCATGATCAACAATCTTGAAGTGAAGTCTGACCCCTGATTTTGTTTCACATGTTTTCTGCTTGATAAAAAATATACCATATACCGTAGTAAGACCCTGGTTACCGGGTATTATGTAGGAATTTCCTTTGAGGAAACCCCCCCCCCCCCCCCATTTTTTCCCAGTGGTCTTTATAATACCGTAGGGTATTTTATCCGGGAAAATACAATACATCTACGAATCAGGAATACATCGAACAATGCTCACGATACAGATATGCACAAAAACTGAGCAGCACACTAAAGATACAGAAAAACTGAATAGGAGCAGTGCATATGATTTGGAAAAACACTATGGAGGTCTAAAGAAATAAGGTTCTATTTGTTTGCAGTCATTAGAAACCCAGAATCTTTTTCACCAGTGCTATGTGCTTGTTGCCCACTGTTTACTCGTACATCCACACAAGCTCCTCTCGATGTCGGTGGGAAAGCATATCACGCAGTAGAGCACCTGTGGATGCCAATTCAGGCTGGTGCAAGTGGGAGGAAGAAACAAATTGCGTGATGAAGGGAGGGAAGGAGGGAGGGAGAAGAGGGAGGGGGGTGGGACGGTCGGAGGGAGGTAGGGACGAATTGACTGAGGTAGAGAGCCGACTGAGGGAGGGTCGGAGTGAGGGAGGGAGGGATGGTGGGTGGGACGATAAGAGAAGATGCAAAGAAAGGAGGGAGGGAGTGCATGGACGGTGGGAGGACGGGAAGGGAGGAGGAGCAAGGGATGGAGGGAAGGAGTGCACAGGAGGAGGGAGCAAGGGATGGAAACAAGGGAAGGAGGAAAATGGGGAGAATATGGGAGGGAGTGAGGGAAGAGAAATGGTGAGTGGGGTGCATGAACCAGGGCGGAGGTGGAAGACGGGCGGAGGTAGGTAAGGACAATCTCATTGCCTGCTCTCTGAACCCTGACGGGCAATATTCACCCCTATAACAATGCACCACCACCTGCTCTCTGAACCCTGACAAGTCGTCCATGTTGTCGAGGATACCAGGACGTGCACTGGCAGCCGTCAGTTTAATCATACGTCTCTCCTTTTCATTGTTTGCAACCTTCTGGTAACGCCTTCCAACCTCTTGTCAGGATTCGTCAAACCTATGTTAGCATCTGTTGAATGATTCACACGACCCAACTGGCGAAAGGCAACCAGAGCAGTCGCTGGATGCATGCTTCTGCATGCAGGAGAACAGGCATGTGCGCACATGTACGTGAACAGATGCACAAATGCATATGCACGTTCTACCGAGCATATGATTGAGTCTAAACACATGCACGTGCATGTGAGCGCTTGTATAAGAATTTGGAGTGAAGCATGTATGTATGTGCGGTAGTGCACATCTGCGTATGCATCATGTAAAAGTTGTGCATTAGTGCGAACATAAGCCACGCACCGAAATGACAGCAGGCGTAAATTCGGAGAGGAGGACGGCTATGCGCTGAAGCTTAACCTCAGCTTTACTCCTCATACTTGATTCTATCAGGTCCTGCTTCCATACACACAGTCATATTCCAAACCATACAAATGGGAAGCATTGCAACAGGTTCAGTACAAGCAGGCTTGTTCAAAACAGTAGCAGGTGCGACAACAAAACCAAAGGAAGGAATTTAAGGACTCAATAGGCACGAGGTGAACGATAGCTGAGTACGGGTAACATACAAAATAACTATTCTGTCGCCAATTTGAAGGAGACTTACATTGAAGCCCCCTTATCAAACACGAAACTTACATTGCAAGCAACGAGCTCATTAGCCAATCTGTTCGCCACCCCTCGCAGTGCTACCGCCAGGGCCAAAGGAGCCGGAAGACCAATAGCTACAGCCATGGCCACAACGAACGACGGGGCAGACGAGGAGACGCCTGTGGGGTGTGTGCTGCATTGCAAAAATGAAAAGACAAAAAAGGTGACAGGGCTGATTGCTGCTACCATGCAATAAGAGATTACGGGTCCGTGCCAAAATCAGGCTCAGTACAAATGCTATCCCTCTAACCATTCCTCACCTTCACTCCTCCACTCATCACTCCTCTCCTTACTCTCCTCATTCCTCTCACTCACCTCCATTCCTCCCCTCATCATTCCTCTCAGTATCTTCTTCTCGCCTCCTCATTCCTCTCACTCCTCTCTTCTACTCCCCTCCTCAGAGATTCTCACCCGCCTTCTCTCCTCCCTCAGAAACCATCATTCACCTCCTCTCCCTCCCTTACTCATTCCTCACATCTGTCCTTTCATCTCATCCACCTCCTCTCCTCCCCTCCTAACTCCTATCACCAGTCTACAACCCTACCATTCTCATTCCTCTCACCCGCCTCCTGTCTTCCGATCCTCGCTACTCCCACATCCACTCCATCCCCATCCTCCACCTCTCACCTTCTCACTCATCTCACGCATTCATCCAGTGCCAGCTGGATAGCAGCGTCAAAAACAATCAGACGCACAGAGTCCCTCTGAGTGTGCCACGTGTGTCCAGATGAATTCCACGCTGCCCAGATCTGACGGCTCCAAGGCACGGATAAAAATGGAGTGGTGGAAGAACCACATATGTAACGTGAGGTGAATTGAAGCAAAGGACAAACGTCTGCGCAACGTGAAGCAAATCAACGAAGAGATTCTGTTGTGTGGACCTGGAGGAGAGCTTCTGGTGGGATATGGCCCTTTGAGTTGAAATCCTCCAGTGCACCTGACATCTCATCACACTGCCACGAAAACAGCAGATACCCATACTCAATGTCAGGAATAAGACATGTGACAGGTGCTATGGAACGAAGTACTAGCCACACAATGTGTTTCATGAATCATGCCCTGCCATGGATATCAACAAAAATTACATGCCCATTCCACCCACCATGCCACTCACTCCATCCCTTTCCAATGTCATTCCATCAGTCAACCCATTGTAACTCATGCCATAGAAGCCATCATACACCATCCTGGCCCATCCAAGGTTCCCACATGCAAGCGAACCCATATGCATACCAATTATGGCCAGTTGCATGCTGTTCATCGAAGCACCTTCTGAACCGGTTTGTCCGGCGTCGTCACTCTCCAACCCTGCATCTGAGTTTCCCACCGATCCCTGTGTCCGCTTCAACGATAATTCCTCCCAGGCCTGCTGCCACCAATTTGGGACAAGATCTGACCTGCTTCCCTCCTCCTCACTTGCTGCTATTGGAATTCGGTTTCTGCCAAGTCGATATGAGCCAGCTCCCCTTGCCCTCCCAGCACGTTTTGTTGCATTCATCTGGTCCTGTGTTGCCTTGTGCGAAGACGAATGAGTCACGGATCCACCACCTGACCCTGCTTCTGGGCCCGATTGACCCATATGAAGTGCCAGAATACTCTGATGAACGTCGTCCCCAATCTCACTGACTCCACCACCACCATTACCGTCGTCCACACTGCCAGCAGCTGCAATGCCAGCTGCCGTAGAAATAGCAGTAGCATGACCAGCATTACCGACTCCACTCTGGTTCTTCTTCTTCAGGTTTTGCCGAAGCTTTCGGGCCATGAGCTCAGCCTTTTTCTCCTCCTGCTCCAAGCACGATTCAGGAGTTGCAGCATGACGTGGTGCGAGGAAATGACGCACAGCAGAGGAAGCTGCGAGGAACATGCAGTTGATTGTGCGGTACAGCAGGAGGAGGAAAATGAACGAGGAGAAGAGGAGGACAGGGAGACGTTGGAAGTGAAGGGACGCGATGGAAGGTAGTAGCGATCGGTGCAGGCGATCAGGGAGGGACGCCACTTCGGTTGAAACCCTCAACCTGTGGCGGCAGGGAGGTTGGTTGGCATCAGTCAACTGAAAGTCAGTCAAACGATTGGAGCGGGGCGAGAGGGCAAGCACTTTGGGTTGAATAAGTTCGGGTGCCGAGGACGCGGTGCGGTTGAATTACGGATGATAGAATAGGCAGGTGTTTCCTACGTCAACTTCAAAGACGCTTGAGCGAGGATGGCAAAAAGCGTAGAGTGCGCAGCAGCAAGACAGGAACTCACCTAGCCTGGTCCAACGTGCGTGGAACGGACTCAGCCACCGACGCTGATAGGTCAGCAACCCAACCAGAAGCCAAAGCAGCTGCCTTCTCAAGAGGAGACTTGGATGACGGAGGTGCCAGTAGGGCCCCATCCGCCCCACCATCACCTGCCCGTCTTCCAAACTTTCTAGCACTTAATTGCTCCACTGAGTCCCCTCTCTCAAAATCTCCACCCTCCGAGCGTCGTCCTCCTCTTCTCCATTGCGTGCTTCTCGTAGTAGTCAACAACTTGATAAGACACTGCACCCGCCTCGGTGATATGCACCTACAAGAGCTGGTTGACGAGTTACCCGCTGGGTTGGCCAACGTTTCTGTTCCCCACTTGCTGTGTTTAAATCGGCTCGCAAACACAGCACCACTTGAGTGAGCAAGAGCGCCACCCGGATGTGCTATCATCATGCCGTGCTGGCTTGCTTCAAGCAAAAGCTGCGCCGCCATATCGATTGTCAAGCCCGTGCTGTGAGGCGTCTTCGAACGAGCGGCAAGAAACTAGTTACGGCGCTGCTCGAAAAAAAAACTTGAAAGACTAGAGACTTCGATGGAGATGAGTCACTTATACAAGCCAAGTCAGCGTCACTTGGATTAGCGAATGCAAAGATTGCCCTGGCTGGTTCCACGGTTTTTTGCAAGTGTCATCCATTCGCATTCACGAAATGGGCTCCACGCGCGACACCTAAGCATCCAAGGCGCTTGAGCGAGAGATTTTCTCCAGACCCGGAAACGGTGATTTGCCGTTGCACACGTAGGCTCAATTTGCTACCGTAGTCGGACAATTTGATGATAATTGCTCGAGTGGTCTTGCCAGAGGTTTCCTCTGGCTTTTTTTTTATCCGGCACATTACCCAAAACCGGTTTTTAGCCCTGCTTTTCTCACGTCGTTCGTAACTCTTCCCGCAAAAACGTGGCGTGTGTTTTTCCGCCCGATTTTTTTGGCTGGGTGACGTGCGCGAGAGCGGCCACGTCATCGTTCGAATACACGACAATAATCAACACGATCATGTTCGGCGAACAGTCGCGCTCATTTTTGGTCCAATGATTGACCAATCCGCGCATAGAGATATGAATCCCCGATCATATACTCAATTGCACGACTGTCCACACGCGCGACCAATTACAGAGCGCGTGTGATTGGTCGACTCTATGCGCGGGCCCTTTTCTGATCTTGCGCGTCCAATCAGGCGCGCTCATATAGGGTCACGCCCATATGAGATCGCGCTACTGGAAATGGAATATATGTTTAAACTCACCAATGCTACAAAAGGTACACACGCCGAAACAAAACCTCTGGCCAATAAGAGTCAAATTGAAACGCTAAGTCAATATCCCGCGCTTTTTTTTTTTAAAGTGATGCAACACACCTCACACACCCTATTCTCTCGTCGTTTTAGGGTTGACATCCTACTTTGTTCCTGTATCTCTTCTAGGAGGTAATTCAGTTGGAACGTTTCTACTAGCCGCAATGGGTTCGTCATCTAATACTACTAACACAGAGTACGACTCAGGCGACGAAGATACGGAGTTTTGTTTTGTTGGCACTGGAGAGCCCAAGCAGAGTGATATGTACCGTGCATTGCTCCGAAATATGACGGATGAAGATAATCACTCGCCACCATTAGTGATAAACGATCGAGCCCCGTTGTGTGAAGGTCAACTGTACTCCTCGAAGAAATTTCTGTACGAGGCGTTGGAAGATTATTCGGTAGCCCACAACTTCGGTTTTAGGGTTTCAAAGAGTAGGCCAAACAGAGCCAGCGCTATATGCATGAGTCACCATGAGCGACGTAAACCAGCTTGCAAGTGGCGGTGTGAGTACTCAACTGACGGAGCGGGTGGGTTTTGGCGTGTTAATAAACTGTCCGCCCCAACATCTCATTGTTGCTCACCCGTTGATCGGGACCGCTACGTCAACCACACTACAAATAAAGTACCGTATCTACAGCGTCATCATGGGAACCTTGTCCACGCCGCTCCACATCACCCTCCCGGGACTTACAAGGATCAGATTGCGTCGACCGGCGGTCCTGACATCAGTTATCATCAATCTTGGAGGTAAGTATTATAGCATTCTATTGTGGTTCCCAACCTTCCATCTCATCCGTGTACCATAAAGAAATGTTCATGATTACCCACACGATGTCTCTCATGTTCGTGCTACATGCCTATACTGTCTTGCACGTTATCACCAATCATCGCAGGCTCAAGGAAAAGATGTTGAAGGAGCGGTTTGGAGATTGGAAAACATCGTTTCGTTACATCCCTCGCCTGTTGGAACGCTTCAGGGCGATTGACCCTGAAGCAATGCTCGACCTTGTGACAAAGGATCACGCTTTCTTCCGTGCTTTTGCCGCCCCATCGGCATCAAAAACTGCCCTAAGGTTCTGTCGACCGGTCATTGGTATGGATGGCATGTTTCTCATTCGGGCACAGCGTGCTACGCTCTTGGTTGCAGCTGCTAAGGATGGCAATAACCAGCTTGTTCCACTTGCGTACGGCCTATGCGAGAGTGAGAATAAGGATAGTTGGAAGTGGTTTTGTGAGAACTTGTTGAAGCATATTCCATCTTGGCCAACCACACAGAATGCCTCCCTTATTAGTGACCGTGACAAGGGGTTGATTCCTGCTGTTAAAGAAGTGTTCCCATTGCAGCTTCCCCACTACTTCTGCAGCTGGCATTTGGAGCAAAATGTGCTAAAGTTTGGGCCCAACGCCTCGGACCTCTTCAAGAAGCTCGCCAACTGCCGCACCAAGGCGAAGTTTGGGAAACTCGTGAGGAGATGCCGGCAGCAGTGCGCCGCGATGGCTAACTATCTTTTCGGGGTTGAAGAAGGTCGTGCGCAACAGACAGGTGGCCGACGCAAAACCAACCGACGAGCTAGCGTGCCAGAGTCAGGAGATGAGTTAAGGGGCATGAATAGTGCCGCAAAACAGGCAAGAAAGGCGAGGATAGAGTTGCGGCGGCAAAGACGACGTCAAAGCAGGGGAGAGCAGCAGCAAGCAATGGCGGCTGATGATACCGCTAACCACACCTTTCCCTCCATGCCCCATTCGCTGGCTGCCGACATTGTTGATTCATCGGCTCAAGAGACCACACCAACATCTGTGCTCCCTTCGTTTGCAGGCGATAACCAAGGACACGAGCCGGCACCTTTGGACGATATTCAACCGGAAACAGATGCCACACCAGAAGTGTTCAATGACCAGTTCGAGGTGGAGGACGGGAGTCAGATCAGCTGCGGGGAGGATTCCGGGGATGAGGACAGTACAGATAATGGCCACTGCTCACATCCCACCACTACGCTGACTGATCCAACGCTATCCAACGCAGCTGCGCAACAAGCGGCCAAGATGCGGCAAAGGCGGAAGGAGATCCTTAGAGGGAAACGGGATGCAAGGGTTGGAAGGACCAGTGTCTTCGACAACAGGGCAACAACCGACCCTCATTTGCCAACGCAAGAGAGCCAAACACAACGTCATCCAACACTTCAGCACCGTGTTCCCCCCCCCATGGGTCGACGGAACGAAGCAGGACGAAGTGCGGACGTAACCGGCGGTCCTGAGACGGGGTTGGGTGGATTGGGCAATGCGGATGCTCAGCAAGGGGCTGGGGACCAGATGGAGGAAGGTGCAGGTATAATCGTTCGCACGGGACAGGATGGCCCCAGGTACAAGAGGAAAAAGAAGATTACAGTCTTCATCAAGCAATGGGCACGGTGTTATGCCCCCACGTGTCGCTTTGGTATCTACAGCAGCCAAATGGTGGAGTCCATAAACAACGCTATCAAGAAGATCCGTATTCTGCCCGTGACGTACGTAATGGCGGGCATGTGGGACTGGATGGCACATATCTACTCGGATGGACAGCGTAGATCTTTAAACTGGCAGCATACGTTGACGGTCGAGGGTGAGAAGCGGTTTGAGCTGAAAAAGAACCGAAGCCGTGGCTACAGGGTCACACGCAATGGTCCAAGCAATGCAGAGGTTCGAAACAAGGGCTCCCTGCTGGATCCACGTCCTCTATCCTTCAACAATGATGTCGGAGAGAGATCGTGCGAATGCAAAAACTGGCAGGAGTATCGGTTCCCATGCTCACATGCATTTGCACACTTACGGGAGAGGGGAATGGATCCTATACCCTTTATTTCCAGGTATTGGAAGGCCGACAACTGGAAAAAGACTTATGGGTCTCTCATTCCGTATTCGTGTGTAGACACGGTTATTGCTGAAAACGAGCCAGTTGAGGAGGGAGTTTGTGATCCTCCTATTTTTGTGCAGAGAGGAGCAGGGCGGCCACAATCAAACCGAAGGTGTGAAGCCCCTAAACGGAGATACAAGTGCGGTGACTGTGGCTCGACGGAGCATACCCGGAAGAAATGTAAGGGGAAATATGGGGGGTCAGGTGTGTATCACGTAGCAAGCTAGTGGTACGGTGATAGTTTGATTGCTGAATATTAACTACTGCATATGAATGTTAGGGAATGTGGTACGTTGCATGCACTTTACTACTAGGAGAAAAAGAGCAACGAATTGCCATGACTTGAAGATATATGAAACTCCATATGACCGGCCATAAACATTACTGCCCCTGACCATTAGTACGCACAGGCGCAATCCACGCGCTCTATTCACACGTGCAAATGACGAGGCAAATGCAGACGCACATATGACCGGTCATATGTGCACGCGCATATGACCGGTCATTAACGGACGAGCATATTACCTCACCAATGACCGGATGGGTACAATGTTACCACGCGAGCCTGACGTTACGTGCCAAGGACGGATGCGTTTTGAGGTCTACTTTCCATCATGTGATTTTGCATCGCGAAATTAGGGTTCACGACAATTAGGAAATTGCATATATGTGCACCGAAATAGACATATTGTATACATAGATGAAACATATTTTGAGTGGAGTGTAAGTAGCGAAATGTTAGAAGGACCTGATAGTCCTTAATCTCGTGTCCATCACATCAATACACAACAACGCTAAACATACTACCACCCGGTACAGCCCATGCAACACACTCATGGGTAATATTACATCCCTTAGCCACTATACTCTCAAGAACGGAATGGTGGTTCGATTAAGGTTGGTTGGGGTGCGTAAACCTAACCCATACTGCTATACCCCATATAACAACCCTCATGTAAAAATATATCATACGACGATACCGTTCACGTATCCAGACTTTTTTTTTGGCCATATCCATGTTACCAGGAATGGAGTGTTGGCCCTGCCCTCGCTTGGGCAACGCCGGCGACTTGGTCGGATGTACGGGAGTAGCAACCGACCGTTCACAGTGGAGAGCTGCTCGACAGGATTCGTCGAGCTGCAGGGGACCGCTGTGGTGTTGCTATCGACCAGGGAGCTCGACAGCTGCAACTGACTGGTCTGGGCGACGGGTGGGGCGTCGACCAGGACCTACAGCTCGACCAGG